GTCTGTCTGTCTGTCTGTCTGTCTGTCTGTCTGTCTGTCTGTCTGTCTGTCTGTCGCAAACAAACGCAATGATCGACATAAGTCAAAGTTTATATACATGCATTATTATTTGTCTGTCTGCCTCCCGTTTCTCTTTCTCCCCTCCCTCTCCCCCGATCACTCATTCTCTCTCTCTCTCTCTCTCTCTCTCTCTCTCTCTCTCCTCTCCTCTCTCTCTCCCTTCTCTCTCTCATTTCTCCCGCACCCCTACCCCCACCCCCACACCATCTATCTCTCCCTATAAAAAGAAAGCAGTTTGAAGACGATTATTTTTTCTTATTTTATAAAGTATTTTAACACCCCTTTCAACACAATTTAGATCATTTAGGAGGCTGGCTTCGATCCTGCCTGCCAGGGCCAACCCGGACTTAGAGGGTAGAGAATAGATACAATATCAAAGCAGAACATCCTAGATTCTAGATAAAACTTTCTCCCCTCTCGGGAATTGAACTCGGGTCTCCTGCGTGCGACAGCGAAGCGCCTAACCGCTACACCACATATGTCGGGTGTTTTTTTTAGGTCACTTCAAATTCCATTCCATTTTTTTTTTTAATGGGAAAAAATTCCAATAAAAATGGGTTAAACAATTGGAGCAGTATAATGGTGGAATGTATGAGACGACAAGTGAAGAACGATGGTGAAGGACGATGATAAAGAGGTCGATAAGGAGAGGGATAACAGTAACAGTTAGTGGAGTGTCGGAGGGCGGGGACGGTGGGTGAAGTGTCAAAGATGGAAAGACGAGTCAAGGGGAAGTATAGATGATGGACAGACGGGTCAGGGGAAGTGTCAGTGATAGAGAGAAGATGATGTATAGATGATGGACAGATAAGTCACGGGAAGTATAGACGATGGACAGAAGAGTCAAGAGAAGTGTAGATGATGGACAGACGAGTCAGGGGAAGTATAGATGATGGACAGACGAGTCAGGGGAAGTGTAGATGATGGACAGACGAGTCAGGGGAAGTATATGTGATGGACAGAAGAGTCAGGGGAAGTGTCAGTGATAAAGAGATGAGTCACTGGCAGTATAGATGATGGACAGACGAGTCACGGGAAGTGTTTTAGTTTAAGTAAGAGTTTTACCTCATTTGCAATACAATAAGGTCATATTGAGTGCCGAAGATTTGAGGTGTTACAAGAGAGTAACAAACACAAAAAAGAAGGAGGAGAGACAAG